ATGCAGCCATTAGGCATTTCCTCTAACAGAATGCAAAGGCAGAGGTGCACAGTGTTTGGCATTCAGTTAGTACTTACCATATGCCTCCTCCTGAATGACTTTGTGCAATTAGCAGAGTAAGCAGCAGAAGCCCAATTTACCTGCAGGTAACTCTCCCAGAAGAGTGTTGCCAGGCTGGGCTCCAGACTGGAATGAACCCATGGGAGAGTCTCCAAGGATTCCTGGTTTCTAGAAAGTTTGGTCACAATGTCAGAGATCAGGTGGCTTTATGCACCCAAGAGCCCACACTATTGGAGGGCAGAGGGTGGCCACTTTAAGAAACCCAAGGGGAAAAAATCATCAGTAGCCCCAGTAGTAGGAGGCAGAGAGGTATAGTATTCATCAGCAAACAAAAAGGATGATTGCTGTTCCAAGGAAGACAGGCAAAAACAGAAAATCAAAGTCCATTCCAGAGTCAGGAAGATGAGGCTTATAAAGAAAAGGAGGGGCCAATGGAAAGGTCAAAGTACTCAGGCAGAGCTGGTCCAGGGCAGTCTTTGGACAAGAAAAGCTCCTGAAGAGTGGGGATGGAAAGTGAACTTTCAGATGATCACAATACTCCACACACAAGACCCCCACCCAGGGTCAAGCCAGGACTCCTCCAGTCAGTTGGGCAGGCAAATACAGACAGGTAAATAGGTAAAGGGACATATGGAGTTGCCTGGCAATCATTCCTGGCCTTATCTCCCAAACCCTGACCCTGGTGGTGAGCTGGGACAGAGTATGGAATTGTAGCCCAAGTAGGGAGGGGAAGGCAGTACCTGCTGGACTTGGCTCTGAGTCTGTAGGGCAAGCTGGAGCAATGCCGTGGACAAGGCTGGGCTGTTCAACAGGGGCATAGCTGGAGGTGCACCCAGGAGGCCTGTAAGGCCAGAAAAATCATTCCCATTCACTACTTCCCTTTTCTCACCATATTCCCTTATCACGCAGTAACACCCCCCAGGCTCTAATACCACATCCCAGGGGGCTCAGGGGGAACACTCACCCTGCTTGTTTCCACTCCCAGGGCCATGCAGCAGGGGATTCAGGAGAAGTTGTAGAGATGCAGGGGGTCCTAAGCTACTGAGGATCTGAAGAATGTTTGGCTCAGGCAGCAGCCCCTTTCCCCTGTTCAGAGCCTTAAGAGATAAACCAAAGAACCCATTCATAGTCCAGCACTCCCACGTGGAGGATGACCCAGGCCCTGACAGGAAGTAAGAGATCCTAAACCCAGGGAACACGGGGTTTCTTAGTGAGCTTGTGCCCTATATCCAGGGAGGTCCTACTCACCGTGGCCTGAGCAGCAATGAGAGCAGCTAGCATGCTACGGCCAGGAGGGCCTGGGGCACAGAAAGACACTCGGATAGGGTTCCCAGCCAGGGCCATCCCATCTGCCTGCTGCTGGGCTTCTTCAGCCATCTGTGATGTCTCATACTCCAATACTGCGAATCCCTTCAGTTGTCCATCCTGCCCATATGCGAGCTGTGGGGCAGAAGACAGAGAAAATAAATGGGAAGACCCATCACTACCTACCCCCTAGGCTGGAGAGTAGTCAAGTCAGGAAATCTAAGGTCAGGTCATCATGACCCAATAGAAAAACCAATGAATTTAAAGCCAGTGAACCCAAATTCATATTACGGCTGTGGCACTACATGTGGAACCTCAGGCAAGTCATTCCCTGTTTTGGGGCCAGTTTCCTTCTCTAGGAAATGAAGTGGACTGTAAGGTTCCTCCCATGACCCTGTTAATAAAGGTGTAATGCCCTGACAAGGAGTCAGGGCTACAGCTGCTCACCTGGCAAAATGTGGGAGGGTGCACAGAGGACAGGGCCTGTCGCAGTTCATCCACATCACTGTAGCCTTGGGGTAGGTGGTCAACACAGAGGCATCTCGAATGCAAGAGTGCTGGAGTCAGCTGGCTGGCATCTGTCCAATGAACATACAGTGTCCGGGGGCCTAGAGGCTTGCCCAGCAGGTCTGACTTCGCTCGAGCTGCTGAATCCTTCTTCATATACTCCACAAAGCCATAGCCCTTGGAGTGACCACTGCGCTCACTGTACACCAGAAAGCAGCGCTCTAGGTTGCCAAAGGGCCTCACCAGCTCCTCAAACTGCTGCTGTGTATAGCTTGGGGGCAAGTTGGCAATACAGAGCAGGGCATCTGTGGGCTGCAACTGCACTGACAGCTCCTTATCCCTCAGGTGGCTCTGGTGAAACGTGCGGATTGCGGACTCTGCTTGTTCCCCATTCAGCAGAGTCACAAAGGCTAAGGTGAAGGCATTGAAGAGGAGGAAAAAAAAAATCACCAAAACTGGCACACCTGCTCCCAGAACCTCATCCTCTTGCCCTGGGGTCATCTTCCCTACTCTTATTTACTCCCCAGCCGGAACACCACTCACCAGTCCCCTTGTACTTGTCCACAAAACAGTACTTGAGTTCATAGTCACTGAGCAGGTCATGAACTTCCTATAGAAATAAACAGATAGAGAAATGTCACCTAAAGACTAAAAGTAGGAACGTTGGGTGGGGGAGTTGTATGAAGAGAAGAAATAAACTCCAGGACTCAGGGCAGCTCCTTGATGTTAACATCAACAAGGTTCTTCACAGGAAAGCTGTGGGAGCAAAAATGATTGAGCTGTTTGTAACAGACACAATGCTCCTCAGGGGAGACATCACATTCCCCACAGAGCTAGAGTGGTGGGCTGTAACTAGGAATGGCACCTCCCACTCCAAAAAGGCTAACACCAGGCCAGAAGCAAGCAATCAGCCTCCAGATCTGGTCCCTTTCTATTGAGCTTTTTCTCAATAGTTCAAAACCTTCTACCACATCCCAGACCTAAGGCTGGAGATCTAAAACATAGCAACAGGCCAAAAGACGGCACTGGTGAGGCCATTGAATCAAATGTCACCTCTAACAGATTCCCAACTGCCAGCCTCAGCTTGGACATTTTTTACAAAGGGACGCTTGCTTCCTTCCTGGGGAATAACTGCCTTTCATACTTCATCTCCACTGGGTTCAAAGGATACTAGAAATTAAAAACAAATTTGTGTTCCACTTTCCTAGCATGCATGGAAGAAAGATAAAAGCACTGACATGGGGGAATTCCAGCTGAGGATGGCCCAGGGTCATGACAGGAAGATACACACAAGCATCCACTAAGACTTCTGTTTTGCTAAGGCTGTAGGATTAACCGAGAGAAATCCAGCCATCCCTCTTTGGTTCGCCTCCTTTTCATCGCACAAACCCCTCCTGGCCCAAACCTGGGAGTCAAGGCTGGCTGCCTTCCTCCCTTCCTTCCTCTCCACCCAGAAGGCATAGGAAAGGGCCTGGAACCCGCACGTGGGCCAGGCTAGGCTGGCCACGAGACTCGGGGTCCCGTTTGGTGCAGCAGGCTCACCGAGCACAGACCCTCCCCCCTCCCCGAGCGCCCACAGTCCCAGCACCCTGCCAGACGCACCACCACCGCGTCTCCGAAGTGCGTCCACGGTCCCTCCCCTCCACGTCAATCATTCGGTCTCGCCTAAACTGGTTGGTTGCTCCAGGGCTGCCACGCCCCCTCGATCTCTTCCTTCTCTCCCCTCCCCCCTAGCGCAGCACGCTCCCTCGGCGTACCCCGCCCCGAACTCCCACTTTGGTCTCTCCCACTCCCCCCGCAACCCCCAGGCGGAGGATGCCCCTTAGTCTCTGCCGCCCTCAGCGCTCTTGCCCACCGGCCAACCAGCCTCCCGCGCTGGTGTGTCTCGTCGGTCCCCGTCCCCGTCCCGCCCCCAACTTACACACATCGGGCGTGTTGGTCTTTCCTGCCTCTCCCCCCCCCTCCGCGTCGCACCTGGTTGGTCACGTCCCCCGGGAGGCCCCGGATGAGGATCTTTCGGCGGTTACGGAACTGGCGCTCAGTCCGCTCCAGGCGGCTCCGCACCTCTTCGGGGTCTAGTGGCGGCAGCTTCTCGTCCAGCGCCCTACGCTCCCCGACGCCGCCCGCTTCGGCCTCAGCCTCGGGCTCTGGACTCAGCGGGGCCGGTGAGTAACGGACACGTCTGCCGCCATCTTGGGAAACCCGGCGCCTTCTGGGACCAGCGAGCCGGGGCGGAGCGGCCTAGAGCGGCAACGGCGCCGCGCCCGTCCATTGGCTAGGGCAAGTCCCACCTCCCTCCTCTCCTTTTGCAACCCATTGGCTGCGAGACTCCTCCCGCTAGCTCCCGCCCGCTCGTGGGTGAGTTTTGTTCCCTAATTGGACTTTGGCAGCCTGTTATAGATGGGGAGGCGTGATTGAAGTGGCCGGCGGAAATGGTGAGCACGCCTCCCCATGGCCCCGCCCCACGTGGACTGGCGGACGAACCCACGAAGAGCTATGCAAGAGGCCGGAGGTTGTGTCTCAGTAGTAGCTTTTATTGACCTAGGCCGAGGCTACCGGGCTCGGGCCTTTAGGGCCCGTCTCTGGTGTCTCCATTGGCGTCCGATCCTGCAAGGGCAGCGTCTGGGGCTGATAACTGCCTTTCCGCAGATTCTGCCAGAGGCACAGGGTTGCAATCGCCCCTGCCATGGCCGCGAGGCCCAGGGCCAGCAGCACCCCCATGACGATGGGCACAGGGTCTCGCCGGGATTCTGCGGGGTGGGGGAGAAAGAGGAAGGATCAGAGTTCCAGTCTCGCCCCCCGCCCGCTGGGGTCACAATCACACATTGCCTTTGCCCCACCCCCTCCCTACTTCTCAGCCCCATATGTGGCTCTCCTTACTGTAGACAGTCAGATTTTCCTGGACTTCCCGGTCATGATCTGCCAGGGTCACATTGCAAGTCAGCTCCCGCTGGCCCTCTTTCTCTCCTTCTGCAATGATTACTATGGCTGTAGCCCTGAGCATGTCCTGGCCCCGGACAACTGTAGGACTCAAGCTTCTTCCTCCCAGGGACAGATGGATTTGGGCATTCTCCACTGGGAAGAGTTTGTCAATCTCACAGCTCACAGTCTCCTTCTTCCCGACCTCCAGATGCTTGGGAACTATGAGTCGAGGGGTACCCAGTGCTAAAAGGAGAAGAGAGAACAGAAGAGAGAGGCAGTTGAAACAGGTAGGAATAGACTGCAGGGTGTCATCAACTTTGGCATGGCCCAGCAGCTCCTTTTTGTCCCTCACCAAAGGTGTGGAGCTCCATGGGGGCTGAACTCTTCTGATAGAGTCCTAGCCCTCGTGCTCGGAGGTCCAGCTCTGCTCTGCAGGAGAAATTGACCCCGTGGTCCTCTCGACTGGCTGTGGCTGTGAATGTGACCTCAGCTGCCTTTCCTGGGCCTTGTTCAGAGACTGCCTGCCTGCTCAGCTCCTGAGGTCCCCGAAACAGTGCCATTGTCAGGTTTTGCCTGGGTTTCCCACCCCAGACTTGGCATCGAAGGCTGAAATTCTGGCCCATAAGAATCCATCGAGGCAGGGGCTCAAGATTCACAGGTTCTGGTGACTCTGAGAAGAGGGAAAAGACCCCTAAGTGGTCTGTGGGAGTAGAGGACTGCCCTAGTTTCCCACCATTTCCTCCTAGTGGAAGGACTCCAGCTTTGGAAACAACCCAGTGAAACTCTTGATTTAAGAGGACCTGGCCCAAATACAAAGTGCTCTGTTTGAGATTCAAAGCCCTTCATGACCTAGCGCCCACCCCCCACCTTTCCAGTCTTCTTACCCCTTACTCCCCTGCCAAGTACTTCTTTGATCCAGTGACACTGGCCTCCTTGCTATTCCTGGAACAAGACACTCTGTATCTGGGCTCTGGGCATTTTCTCTGGTTGTCCCTCATGCCTAGAAAGACCTCCCTCCTGCACTTTGACTGCTGACTTCCCTGGCTTCCTTTAAGTCCCAACTAAAATTCCATCCTTTACTGGAAGCCTTCCCTAACCCCTCTTAATTCTAAGACTTTCCTCCTGTTTATTATTTCCTGTTTATCCTGTATATAGCTTGCTTTATATGTTTGTTTGCATGTTGTTTCCCCCACTGATTGTGAGCTCCTCCAGGGCAGGGACTGGCTTTTGCCTCATTTCGTATCCCCAGCTCTTAGCATAGTGCCTGGCATATATTAGGCACTTAACAAATGTTGACTGATTGATTGCCTTCGTCCAATATTTAAATATCTAAACATTCCTTTTAAAACACTTTACCCAAATTAATAAAGTCTTTTTCTGGTCAAATTGATCAAACTTTTTTTAAACCTAGCTTTTTAACTTAGTGAAAGGTTTAAATTGATGCTATTCTTTGATCTTTCCTAGTAGTCTGTATTCAACAGATTTGCATAATAAGTGCTGTGTGGAGAAGGTTAAATGAGGCAGATATTTCTTTCTCACTATCATCATGCTGATTGAATTATTCATTGGCTGGATGAGGGAAGCAGAAGGGGGCTTGACCAGAAGGAGGCAGTAACTTGGTCTGGGCAGGAGATTATTTAACCATAGATTTAAAGCTAGAATGGACCTTAGAGTAGACCATCTTGTCCACCCCCCTCATTTTGCAGATGAGGAAACTGAGGCTGTATTGTCACATAATATCTTTTTCCTTTGCTTCTGACCTTTCGTTTGGTCAGTCACAAGGTACCTGCCCTGTAGTCATTCATGGCACACAACCAATCCAGATCCTATATGTCATGGTTCACTGGGGGCACAGGATCTTCCTGTTCTACAGGTCCCGGTACCCTGCCTGGACCCACAGTCTTTCATGGCATGTGCCTTCATCTGACCCACAGACCTAGGAGTCTTGCCTGGGAAGGGGACCTTGCTTTCTCAGATAATCTGAGGCAGCTAGGTCTGCCTTCACTGGGCCTGGAGTCAGGAAGACCTGAATTCAAATCTAGCCTCAGATACTACTAGCTGGGCAAGTCACTAAACCTCTGCCTGAGTTTCCTCAACTAAAATGAGGGTCATCATAACACCTGCCTCCCAAGGTTTTTGTGAAGATTGAATGAGATATTTGCAAAGCATTTGGCATAGTGCCTGGCACCCAGTGGACACTCAACAACAAATGCTTGCTTACTTGCTGGTCTAATTAAGGTGTTAGCATGCTAAGAGATAGGGTGACCAGTTCCCCCAGAGTCTTGGTGGGACCCCATCATAGGTTAGGTGGAAAGGGGACCTCCAGATTAGGCGTGCCAGAGAAATCCTAGAGGTGGTAGTTGCAGGGGTGGTTGCCATGCATGGCATTGAAGGCTATTGGAGGACTTCCAAGTAAGCCATAGGGAGACTTTAAGAAATACATTTGCCCATGCCCAGGAAATTTGCTCCCTATGGTGAAAAACCTATGGCAAATCCCTAGTTGCTCTGTCCTAGGTATGGCTGTGGGCCATAGTCATTAATGGTGTACACCCCCACTGACCAAAGTACTCACGAATCACAGTGACAGTGGTACTGTGGGTCATCTGAGTATTCTCAAAGCAGTTGGCAAAGCAGTAGAGTAGGCTATCCTGGGTTATATTTCTTAGTAGGAATACTTTCCATCTGGTCCCGTTGTCTACTTGTGTCTTGACAAGTTGGGTCTCCAGGCCGATGAACTGTGGCTGATCACAATCTGTGCTGCAGTTCACTGACAAGTTCCCCCCAGGAGTGATCACTGGGTCTAGGGGTTCTATCCATGTGATCCCTGGAGCCCCTGCAAACACAGAGCTATGGTGGTTGCCTCAGACTCTTTCTAAGGACATTCTTCCTGACTTACCAAGTGTCTGGACCCCTTTCTCACCCTTCTACTCACATTCCCCTATAGACACAAAAATCCTGGAGTTCCCTCTTGCCCTTTGAGGAATCAACCCCTTCCTGAGACCAAGCGGGGCTAAGTTAATCGGTACTGCCCTCCAGGTTATCCTCATCTCTGGGCCCTGGATACAAAAGCCTGGGTCTTTCTGTCCCCTCCCTACCTTCTCTCAAAGTTAAGAGTTCATGGGACCTACAGGGAGCCCTCTTGCTGTAGGAGAGCTAGCTTAGGTAGTTTGAAGCAGCTAGGCCTTTGCCAGGGTCTCACCTGAGAGCATGACAGCAAACACCAGCAGGTTCAGGGAAGACTTGGGCCAAGCTTTGAGGAGTGCCATGCAGGGCCTGGGTTGAGTAGCAGAAGAGTGATTGTAGAGTGAAGTGGGGTTGCCTCCTGTCTTCCGGGAGGTGGGGGTGGGGACTGAGGTTCTAAGTAAAGGCTTTTACGTTAGCGGAAGTACAGCTCCTGAGCCCGTGTCTCCCAGCATGGAGGCTACTCAGTGAGCATAAGGCTGAGAAGGATAGGGCCAGGCCCATGAGCCAGTTTTCCAGTCCCCAAAGAGGCATCTCTGATCTGGATAAAATCGCTAGTCCCCACCCCCAACAGGAAGCCACCAGCCCTTGGCCAACAGTTTGGGTTGGGCCTTCTTCCTTTCTGTTAAACAAGAGACTTGAATGGTGGAACTAGAGTTGGGGGAGGAGGGACTGGTTGTCCTTTGGGTAATGTTCACTGCCCTGCTTTAGTGGCTGAGCATATTGCCTCTCTGCACTTAATGTGTACCCACAGAGGGAAGGAATCAGAAAAAGATCACAGCATTTAGGGCCAGGGGGCAGGACAAAGAATACTAGGTAAAAGAGGTAATTTAAGCTTGATGTCAGCAGCGATATCCTGTTAGAGGTAACCCCAAGCATGACCAGTTGCCTTCAGAAAAAATTGGCTCCAGTTCATTGGAAGTCTTCCAGAAGAAGTTGAATCACTACTTGTCACAGATGCTGAGTGGGAAATCTTTTTCTGGTATGAGTCAGGCCAGATGGCTGCTGAGGTCTCTTCCAACTCTTAAAATTCTGGTATTCTGATTTTAGGGAGAAGAAAACTGAGGTCTAGAAGGGTTGAGTGATTTGCCCAAGGTCACACAGGGAGTAAGGGTTATGGTCGATCAGATCTCAGGGCCTCTCACTCCACAACCTGGACTCTTTCCACTCTATACTATGCTGTTCTGAAGCTCACATGACCCAAAGGAAGGAAAGGAGGGAGGGAGGAAGGAAGGAAAGAAGGAAGGGAGGAAAGAAGGAAAGGAGGGAGGAAGGAAGGAGGGAAGGAAAGAAGGGAAGGAGGGAGGAAGAAGAGAAGGGAGGGAGGAAGGAAGCAAGGAAACAAGAATTTAGTGAGCACCTACTGTGTTTCAGGCACTGTGCTAAGCAAATTTTATAAATGTCTCATTTTATCCTTACAAAAACCCTAGGAAGTAGGTGCTATTATTATCCTCATTTTACAGTTGAGGAAACAGAAAGGCAAGTTAAAGTGACTTGCCCAGGGTCACCCAGCTAGTAAATGTCTGAGGCCACATTTGAATTCAGGTCTTCCTGACTCCAAGTCTAACATTGTGTCGACTGAGCCACCTAGCTGATGTGGAAAGCACTTTGTAATCTGGAAACCTTCACAACAGCAGTGCATTCTAGCATCTTCATCTGAACCTGGATTAGGATTAGGAACCATTATCAGGATTCTTGACTCCCTTCCTCTCCCATCAAACTTTCAAGAAGTTGAGATAGCTAAGAACTGTATCATTATAATAAGCAAATCTTTTCTGAGGGCAAATGAAAAATCTATGGATAAGAAACCTGCTGCCTGCGTTTGCTGAGGCTGGAACCTTGGATAGGAAGCCTAAATTTCATCTTTTTTCCTGCTATGTATCTGAATGGGCCAGATGGGGTCTATCTCAAGAGCACAATCTACTTAGGAGGCAGCTAGGTGCCACAGTGGATAAAGCACAGACCTGGAACCAGGAAGACCTGAGTTCAAATCCAGCTCAGGCACTTATTAGCTATGGGACTCTGGGTAAGTCATTTAACCTCAGTTTCCTCAACTGTAAAAATGAGAATAATGATAGCACCTCCTTCCAGGAATGTTGTGAAGACCAAGTGAGATAATACATGTAAAGGACTTAGCCCATTGTAGGCATTCTAGAAAAGTTAGCTATTATCGTTGTCTTTATCCTCATCATAACACAACAGCCATGATCGCACTTGTAGCACTTTTGGGCCTACAAATGGCTTTCCTCAGAACAATTGTATGATGTAGATCATGGAAGCATTGCTCTCCTCATTTTACTGGTGAGGAAACTGATGTACAGAGGTG